TTCAGGCTTCCCGCGACTCAAATGTTCGCGGGAAGCAGGGGAGGGGGCGGAGACTTTTGGGAGGGGGCGGAGTTGGGGCGGGGGCGGGGCCCCGTGGAGTGTCCTCCTTTTGGAGGCACTAAATATGGTAACCCTAATTAAAACTGGCTTTGCATAATGGTATTATTTTTAATATGTTGAAATATGGGATAAAAGGGGTCCCATACTGATTTAGTAAGGGATAGGCAATTTTCTATTTAAATAAGGGACGTCCCTTGTAATATGGGACTGTTGGCAACCCTAGTTGTCCCCTGTCTGTAGCTGCAGGGGGCAGAATCAAAGCTGATTGGATGAGGGACTAGTCCCCACCTTCTGGAAACTCCCTCACTTTTGTTCTGCCTCCTATAGTTACTGGCTGGATGGGGGAATCACCTGCTAGAGAGAGAGAGAATTCACCGAAAACAAACAAACAAACCTGAAGAGGTAGTTTGTCTTCTTCCTGGAATTATCACAGTGCCTCCCGCACATCCCCTGACTGCTCAGATAAAGGCTAAGAGGATGGAGGAGAAGAATCTAAACAGGAGACCGAGGCTGCCTTCCTCCTGCTCTGTATCCCTGCCTGAGGGTGCAGAAGGGGAGAGGTTTGTGCCTTGTGCATTCCAGACTCCTCATCTGCTGGGTCAGAAAGGTTTAGCTTTGGCCTCCTGACCCCAACCCAGGAGATTGTTCCCCAGGAGTTCCCCACCAGCGGGGAGTGACAGCTGGGCTGCAAATGCCTCAAAGGAGGGCAGAAAAATGAAGAGAGCCCTTCGGCCACCAGAGGCAGTCACATCAAAGGGCAGTGGCCTACCACAGGGGTTAAATCCACCATAGACAGAGCAAGGGGTGGATGGTTAGACCATCTGGGGCATGCATCCTCCTGCAGCACAGGTCACTTCCCGGCCCTTGTTGGGTAATTCATTTTCCTATCTTAGACCCTGGGGAAGTCAGGAATTCTGAAATGAGGGCAGAAGAAGGGAATCTCCCCTCAGGAAGAAATTCCCTCTTTGGTTAGGGAGCGCTTGGATTTGGCACAAAAAGTGCCTTTACCTCAGAGCCCACCATCTTATGAGCTCCCAGGCAGCGCAGCAGTGTCCCATTACACACATTCTATCCACTATCTAAAGGGAAAAGATTAAGAGATCAAGGCCTGCTAGTCAAAGAGGTTCTCAGGACTCCTCATCTGACCCAGGTTCCCAATCCCCACCTCCCTGAAGGAGTAAAATTAAAAACTGGGGCAAAGGGTTCAAGAAATTACCTTAGAAACTTAGGAGAAAAATTGGCCTGTTCTTCTAGGGATAGCTTTTCCTCTGACTCATCACCAGAGGGCGCCAGAGCTAAAGGCTCTGCTCCGAAGGTTTTCATACATGGAAAGAAAAAGTACGACAAAAAGAACAGAGTTGTGTATGTGTTTGGTGGTTCTTCTTCATCTTCATCATCATTTAATTCATTTTCATCCTCATCTAGGGTATCACGAAAGAAAGAATAGGAAATCTGTTCAATCTAAGTCCAAAAGAAGAAAAAAGAAGTAAAGAGGAAAGTCAGGATCATCTTCATAGGAGGAAGGTGAACTCTCAATCTCAGTGTGAATCGCAGAATGAAGCAAAGCAAGAGAATCTTCTCCCAACTGAATCATATGTGAAGATGTTATGAAAGGTGATTAGATACTTGGTTGTTCCATCAGATGAGCCCATTAGAAAAGATTCTGAGGAGGAGGAAGGAGAGAGGGTTGGTACAGAAATTACCAAAAAGTATTTTCCAACTGCTTCAAAATCTGAACCACACATTCTCTTCACAAAATAATTAAGGTCAAAAGGAGAACACCAGCAAAGTCTATGACAGTGGTTCCCAAACTTTTCCCCCCAAGGACCTGTTTGGCACCTTATTAAGTGTCCCAGACCCCTTTCATTTCCAGTATTACGGGAATGCCCTCCCTAGCTTGGGAATGCTCCTTCCAGTGTGACCCATGCACTGTGTGCATTCTGGCTCTGGCTCAAGGGATGGGCCCCCACATAACCCACGACAGACCCGTCCAGGAATCCCATTTTGTGAACCACTGGTCTATGAGGCATGCCAAAAAATTCTACAATGTGTACCATAGCAGAGCAGATTTTGTCTCTTCCCAAAGTGGATGTAGCTGTTTCAGTATTAGTCAAAGACACTGCTATCCTAGTTGAAGGGTAGTTTTTCCCAAAAGAACCCACAGAAATATCATTGCACTCTGTTTGAGGCTGCATCTTCCTCTCTGAGGGCTTCTGCTGTGACATGTTTTGCAAGAGTAATACAGGCCTGGGCTGACAGTTTGGCAATCAGATTTGCCCCCCCCTCAAAAAAAAAAGGCTTAGAAATCATTACAGGTAGTTTTGGAGTTAAAGGAAATCTCAATGGCTTCACCATTCATAGCTGCTACAACAAGGGATGTTTTAATGTTTTCAGCACATGCCATGGTCTCCAAAGTGATGACCAGATGGCACCTCTGGTTATGAGCCTGGAAAGGCAATATACAGGCCAAACTCATGTTATCAGTTTTGAAATATCCAGGAGGTTGGCTATCAATGGAGCCATTACACAAGTGGTGGTGGAATACTCAGATAAATCAAAAAAGCCCTTAGAGAACCCCTCTAAATCCAGGAAAAAGGGATAGCCTACCTTATTACGGGTCTAAATATCCTTTTCATGGCTACTCCTCTATGTACAGAAAGTGAGATTACAGCAAAAGCAAATGGAATAAGTCTAAACCCAGAAAGGGCAGAGACCAATCTTCCAGCAATGCAAATTCCAATATTAGAAACAATGCCTGACTACAGTCAGGAAAGTTCTGACAAGCAACGCCTAGAGGGGAAACTATTACAATTCAAGGACCAATGATCTCTCTCTACACTGGAGAGATGGGTCCTGGATGTGTGGTTCAACAAGGATACATCACAAAATTGTGAATGATTCCAAATTGCTGTTTTCTCCCTTCTCCAGTATACTCAAATCTGCAAAAGAGACCAAATAAATAAATAAATAAAAATAAAGACAAAGGTCATAGATCATCATTTGCAAATAGACATGATTGAGTCTCTGAGGAGAAGACATTCTCGGGCCATTGCTCAATCTTGTTTCTTCCATGCCTCCAGTGTTCTTAAAAGTCCTTGTTTTTCTTGTGGCTTATCTCAAGCAGAAGGGACTACAAGTATACCCTTTCCTGGATTACATTGAACTCAGAGTCCCACCCAATGAGGGATCCAGTCAAGTGACTCAGTTAACAATCCAAACATTGGAACAGCATGGATTTATAGTACATTTCTGAAAGAATCATCTTCAACTATCTCAGCACCTAGGTCACCTTGATAGACACGCAGGCCCACAAAATCTTTCTGTCAGCCAAAAGATGGGACAAGATCAGATCAGCAATTAACTTCCTGAGCAGGTGCCCAAGGATTACAATTACTGTGTAAGAGTAATAAAGCCTAAAAATAAAATTGAAATTGAGACACCTTAAAGATAGCCATTTGGAGCCACCATTATTACACCAGGAGACTGTGGCTGGCTGTGGTTTCCATTCTTCCACAATTGTTGAACATACTTATATAATATTAATGATTAGTCACTGTAATAATAAAAAATGTTTTTCCCCTACAAACAAAATGACTTGGGTTTTACTGAATGGAACACACATGGTGCTTTAACGCCTTCATTCCTGCACTCTTTGTAACAATTTGTGAGATGCACTTCAGTGACTCTTAACAGAAACAATGCACTTAAAGTGATCACACATGGAGTTATTCGGGAATAGCTGTTCCTAAATAAATCCATGTGTGGACAAGCCTTTAGCAGTGAGGGGGTTAAGGAGAGGCTTATCTCCTTTTCTCCTTTACAAGAGCAGATTATTTGATATTTTCCTAACCTTCATTACTTCATCATTTGTTAGTCATCCTTATAGTCATCCTTATCTCTTCTTTCCCATTCCTCGAATGAGATGGGCTATCAGCAGATTCTCTTGGATCTCAACACTGTTTTTATTTTTTGTAATTTATTTACAGGCAAGGGGGAGGATTAGTCCATGTTGCAAAGATTAGATTTCTCCTAACACGCAATAAAATTGATCATATTTGATTGTGATGATAAAAGTCTCAGAAATAACTCTGCCAAAATTAGATATGTACTGCAGTTGCTCATTTCTCAGGTAATTCTATTACAAGTAGCCACTAATATCTATTGAATTATGATTATTTTATTTAAAACATCATTTTGTTCTACTGATTTTTCCTTTGACTATATTAATATTACCATACTTTGACTGGTACCCTCTTACCCAAATTCTTCTGTTCAACTCAGGGATAAAACTGGATGTAATGTCTACTTTGAAGATGACTGAATCTAGGTTATTTTTCACTGCACCAATATTTTGGGGTCATTAAACCTGTCAAACTTGTTTGGGCTAGTAAGAAAGTTTCTCTGAGCCAATTCCTTTTAAGGAGTGTAGCTACTGGGAATTACTGAGCAGTGAAATTCACAAAATACACAGACTGCCAAATACAATAAAGAAGTCAGCTGGAGTGAAACTTTCACTGTGTTAAATAACAATACAAACAGAAACTAAAACACCCATCCTGAAGAAAAGCCATTTAGTCATACAAGATCTTGAGTTATTGTAGAACATAATTCACTTTAATATCCTGATTTGGAAGTACACATAACATTTAACAGTCTGGTTCTCCACTGCATTGTAGCCATAGTAATTAATCCTGTCGAAAGTAGATGTAAAATGCTACCAAACTGGAGTTCTTCACTTAGAGTAGTGATAATATTTTACACCTATTATTCTCAGATATATATGACTACACACTGAATGCAGTGGAGAATCAGGGCCCTATTTTTCAAAATGTTCCTTGTTTTCTGTCTGAATCATAAAAATGCCAAACCCCCCCACACACACCTGTTGATATGGGTAACTTGATGGGGCTAGCAGTGAAAGGGGGACAGTCCCAGCGGCAAGGGAAAGAGACACTTGCCAAGGAAAAATAGGTAGCCCCTTCCTTGGTGAGTCTCTGACACATTGGCCAGCTGGGGGAGAGAGATGCTGATTGGCCAGCATTTCTGAGCTCCCAGGATTTAGCCCAGCCCAGGGACCATGTGGAGCCCATTTGGCTCTGTTCCAACAGCCCACCCTGCTTCACCCTTTGTCCCCTTCACAGGGAGGAGGGGGCTAGGACTCAGGGCAAGTCTATACTACAGCACTACATCGTGCAGCTGCACCGCATCTGGTGAAGACACGCTATGCCGACAGGAGAGCGCTCTCCAGTCAGCATAATAGTTCCACCTCAGCAAGAAGCAGAAGCTAAATCAATGGGAGAGCATCTCCTGCTGACATAATGCCTGTGGGGACAGTGCAAAATGTGCCTGGGGCGGGGAGGGAGGCTTTTTCACACCCCTGAGTGATGTAAGTTATATTGACTTAGGCTGTAGTGTCGACGAGCCCTCAGAGAAAGCTGAGTCCTGGAAGTGCAGGCTGAGGTCAGCCTATCCCACACAATTGGCAAGGAGTCCTATAACCCCCTCTTCCCCCACTGGAACCAATTAAATGCCAGAATAGGAAATATGGATGATGGGCAGGTAATGCCTCTCCCTTGTGTTAAACTTTAATAAAAATTGTGGCCTGCAGTTTAATTCCATGCATGCATCCATCCTCATTTTTCTGCTGTGTCCACAACAATAATTTCTAATACCATTCTACTGCTGCCTTTGCTATTGGTAGACAAGTGTTTGATGTTATAAAGAGCATGTTTCAAAAGAAGGCATTAATAACAGACTCCAGAGACAAAGCTGAATAGGTGTATTTTCAGAATTTTATAAAGAGGGAACAGTATATAGCAAGATTGTGTGTCATGGATTTATAGGGTCTGTGCTAGGCCTCCAGCCTTTATACAGCCTCTTAAGAGTAACCCTTTTAGAGTGCCAGGCCCCAAAAGTCCACACTTTTTCCAGGCTCAATGGCTCTGAGACTGGGCCAACTGGCTCCAGCAATCTGTCACCATGAGATCTTACAGCAAGTTCAACTTAGTTTAGACTCCTGTTCAGAGACTTTCATACCTTCAGGGAGCAATGCATTATATTTATTCCAGACTGTGAATTGCCATGTTTCTTCATTCTGTTAGGCATGAGGTTTTTGTTTGTTTTTTCATTCCATCAATTACCTTTCTGTAGGGAAGTTGTTTAAGAAGTTAGAGAATTACAAAGTAACTGGAAGTAAATTCCAATACAGCTTTCCTTTAGATCTTGACCCCACACCAAAATACAGTACATACTTTATTCTTTCCTGGTTGCTACTGAATAGCCTTTCAGGTTGGTGACCCCTTATTCCAAGAAAAAATGTTTGTGATCTCCATACATCTACTATCAAAGTATCGATGATAAATTTACAGGATTTTTTTTATTTTATTTTGTGTGGTACAAGAGGCTGATAAAGAATATTTGACCTTGAAGGCTATGGGTCTGTGGGTCGTGAGGGAGAGATGTTATCTTTTCCTTAGATTGGAATAAAATGTTCAACACCTCATGATCCCTTGATTGCCTTTTGTGACTTTTCGGGTGTCACAACCCACCAGTTGAGAAACACTGTTAGTCAATCAGCAAACCCCAATGCTAGTATGTAAGGAGTATACTAGCCCTTTAAGGACCATCCTGGGGCTCACAAACAGAATCGCATAGGTGCAGTTATGGAGACTCCCTGCTTCACTTTGGTGACCTGCTTAAGCAGGAATAGGAGAGTGAGCAAGTGGGGAGGAGAATAGAACCTGAAAGTCTGCAAGAGGGGTAATCTCTCTCCATGGAGAGTAGTCTGACCAGGTACAGAGACTTTGGTTTGGAATTTGATCAGGGTACTGAAATAAGGAGCTTGGAACTTGTATTCCAAGGGCTCCTTCCCTAGACTTCCATTAAAGAAGACATTCTTATTTTGATGTATTTGCTTTTGTTTCTCATAGCCCCATTCTGTGCAAGATGATTTATTTACGCTGACTGGGGGATGGGGAAAGAAAGGTAGGGCTCACCTGGTGTGCAACACCTGGCCACAAAAGGTTGCCTAAGATGGTCCACCTCTTAACACAGTGATATGTAAACATTTCCCCCCCCACACACAACTTGGAGATGCTTTCTAAAAGGGACAATAAAGAGATGATCAAGTTCTGATGACGATATATGATTATACTTAAGTACCCTGCAACTAGCGAGGGGTGAGGAACAGATCTAGAGTCTGCTCTCAAAAATACACATACAACTTTGCTTAGTTCAGGGGAGTTCTGTGTATCTAAGGGCAGAATTTCTCTCCCAGGTGGATAGTTCAAATATAATTAACTCAGAACCAAGGACCAGATCATAGTCCCAAAATTTTGGGATCATCATCCTTTTTTTACATTACTTCTCTTGGGACCCTCTTGAGAGTTCTCCATGTGGTCTGGATATCCACTGCGGGGGAGAGAATGAGTAGACCTGGTTTGGTAGTGGTAGGAGGTGTGATATTCCTATCTGTACTCTGTAATTCTATGAAGATTAGTAGGAAGTGGCCTTTCCCAGAGCCCCTTTGTGTTGGAGCACCATTCTTTAAGAAGGTCTGGGGCAGCCAGAGGTGGCCCTGGTAGTACAGTTTGAGTCATGCTGCCAGGTTGTTTAGGATGAGTGTGTATATACTGGTCTTGATCTGCACACAGACTTCCTATTGATATAAAGTTTCTTTGTATTTACATAAAGGTTTAAGGGCCCATTCTGGCATAAAATATCCGTAGCCTTCTGAGCTGCATAAACCCTAAGGCCTAGAGGGCAAGAGGTGTTGCTCACCTGCAGGCTGATCAGTCCCTAGGGAAGAACAGTTTATCTGGGCAACAAGTTAAAAAAAATGCAGTATTTAGGAAAGAGAACTCCAGCACATGACCTTATTCCATAATTGCCCAATTTATGATACAAGGCCATATTGCCTCATGGATCTCCTACAGACTTAGCTGGAGTCACTTCTCATAACTCCAGGTTGTAAAGGGGATCAGATGGGATTTTTTAAAATGTAAGCATATCTGGAAGTCAGAGGCGTTCTTGCCCCTGATCACTGTAATCCTTTAGGGGTAAGGAACTCGCTCTTCCTAATGGCTGAGAAGTCCTTAGGGACATTATCATTGTACAGAACTTGAAACTCTTCCAAACAAATCCAAATCAAAATCACAAGAGGTCTAATCTCTGCCTTACTTTCACTGAGGCAGGAAGGTTTATGGGATTCCTTTCTCCCACCCACTTCCTGTCTTCCCTTGATCACCACTATGGTGTTAGGGCCATCTTTATGTTATTGGTGAGTCCCTGGTGAGGGGTTTGGGTTTCACTTTTTCTTAAAATGATATTTTCTCCATAGATGGGTAGTAGATGCAAACCTTTGCCCCCAAGAGTCTTTTACACTAACAGAACCAGATAAATAAGGCCTCAATCCCGAAAACTCTTGTATCAGTCCTTAACTTCATACATGTGAATAATCCCAGAGAAGTCAATGGGACAAACTCAGGTGCACAAAGTTAAACAGGGGCATAAGAGATTAAATTTAGGCTATTGATCCTTTGGAATTCTTTCCCTTGAATTGGAACTTCCCATACAATAATTCCCTGTCCCAATGTTAGAACACCTTTACGGTTTGAATTTTTACAGTTGTTAGGGTGGGAATCATACTACTGTGTACACATCTCTAAAGTTTACAATAAACTAATCCTCTCATACTTATCTCAAACTGTACGTGCTGGCTGTAAAATGTTGTTGGACAGGGCAAATATTTACCTATACTAGCAATGATCAGCTGACCCATTCTGAATAATATTATTCAAAGAATAATCACTGTTCATATGAAACTCTAGGGTTAGCAAAGGTAAGGGAGTTTGCCCCTTTACTTTAAACCCCTCTCATGTGAGAAGGGATATTATCAGAAGTTAATATTCCTAAAAAGACTCAGTGTTTACTTAGCATTAGCTATTAAATCTTAAACACTCAGGTATTTTAACCATGAGGTTAGAGGTATTTGTTATTAACTTAAGTTCACCACCTTGAAATTTTTTATTTAAATTATTTTAAAATGTTTATTCACAGCATAAACTTAAGTCAACCACACACTGCAGGAGAAATCTTTTTAATTGAATAATTTGTGCCTGTTTAAATAAATATTTGCTTATCTTTGTGATGGCTTCACTGTCCATAGCTGCCTACACTGTAAGAGACAGAATCATCTCCTGGGTATTGAATCCAAGCAAATGTTGCAAGTTCAAAAGTTCAGCTATCCTTACTGGGTTTGTGTTCTGCTTAGAAGAGATGAAGTGTGTGTGTGTGGTTGTGGATTGGGGAGGAGAGAACAGAAAAGTGAGAGGTAAAAAATAAGAAAAATCCACTGAAATGTTAGATGAAAAATGTAACCAAGAGAAGGAAGACAGAGACCGAGGAATGGAGTAGCAAGGAAGAGAGAGAAAAGTTCAGACAAGTATATGTATCCGTACACAGTAGGGCACCCAACTGTGTCAGTTTCTGGATTCCCCCTTTAATGCATAGTAAATATTTCCTCCCCCTCCAAATTTTTTTTTTAAATCATCCTTAGAAACACACACAATCCCTTCCCCTTTGTGCAAGGGTACTACATAATTTCTGTTGCAAGTGAGCCCTCTGCACCCATGGAGGAGAGGGTAATATTTGAACCTTAATGTCCTGGCAGCATTCTGTGCCAAAAAATTAAAAATTCTGTGCACAATATTTTAAAATTCTGCAAATTTTATTTGTCAAAATAATACTACATAATCATGCCAGCTTCAATTATTTTTGTAATTTATTTCAAAATACCTGTCAGCAAATATGTCTAACAATAGGGACACACACACAATTCCCCCAGGAGTAGAGATTTAAAGAAACCACTATGACAACCCAGTTCCTGTTTCTCTGCCCCCTTCTCTCCCCCAAGGGCCCAGCCGGGGGCCAGACACCCACAACCCCTCTCACTTAGAGCCCAATGGCGGGCCCCTTCAGCCAATACACCCGAACTCCCTTCCTCCCCAGAGCCCAACTGTGGGGACCCCCAGCCCAGATACCTGTCCACATGCCCCAGAACACAGCTAGGCCCCCCTCTAGCCCCAGATACGCATCTCCCCCCACCCTCTGAGCCCAGGGATCAGAGGGAGAAACAGCCTGATGCTTGGTCCCAGGCTTGCAAGGAGTGTCCTGCGTGCCGGCCCTCTCCTTCCCTCAAAGCATGCTGGATGCTGCAGCTGCCAGGAACCCTCTACTTCCCTCTCCCTCCCCCCAGCAGTGTCTTCTATGTGCAAGCTGGGCTCTGCCAAGTCCCGTGCCCCCCCACCACTAGTGGTGACTAGCAGCACTGCAGCCCATTTGTGGGGGGAAAGGAAATTCTGTCTGCATGTTAATTTCTGCAAAATTCTGCATTGCGCAGTGGTGCAGAATTCCCCCAGGAGTATAATTTGTCACTGTTGTATGTTAAGCAATAGCAAGCAGACTATTGTAACATAACAAAGCTGCTCATTTTTACTTATTACCAGTAGCAACTGGAGACCCCAAATGAGAACTCACCAGTGCTAAGCTACTAGTACATATAGGATTCAGGTGTCTAAAACTGTTGTTAAAACAGGTTTTCATGACAGTAGTAAAAACACCTGAACCCTGTTTTACTAGCAGTTTGCACCACTGCTGACAGTCAATGGAATATGACTCTAATTTTACTAGTGCAGACAAGGCTTAACTGTATAATTGTGTTTCATACCTCACAACATGGAAAGTAATATCTGTACAGCTAAATATAAAGTAAGTATGTAAGCCAAAGAGAGAAATTTGACTAATTGTACAATGCCTCAGAAATGAAGAGCTGCAACCAAAGGGTCAAATAGTTTCAGTTATTGTGACTTTTCTTTTGGAGAAAGAAAGATGGGGGGCGGGAGTCACACAATGTTGGGAGATATACTATGCATTTTTATACAAGTGTCATTTCTAAATGAGAGAATAACAAATGTGAAACCTGACCTATCAGACCTACTTCGCTACAAAACTTTCTCTCCACCTCACTCCCAACATATCCCTCAATTACACCAGATTTCAAAGTGCATCACTCCGTTTGAGTGTCAAATCTCTTCCCACACCAAACTGGGGTGAGCTGATTTCGCTAATGTACTATCAATTCTTAACACTAGAAATGTGGACTCATTCTCCTAATGGAAGTTTTAGACCTCTTAAATAAACGAATCCCGCATCCACTTAAGCTTTCTTCCTCTTCTAGTTTGTGGTGTGTCCCTCAGTGAGTCAGCCAGCCATGTAGTTTAAAGACCAGCACCCCCGTGTAACTTGGCAGAATGACAGTATGCATTTCGGATTGTCTCAACTTCAACAAACAGGTTTGCACTCATTCCAGTGAGATCGCTGGAATTGATTAATCTCTAGGTTATGAATCCAGGCTGCAGATTCCAGCCGAGGGAAGTGTGAGCAGAAAGAGGCTGACAAGCGAAACAAGTTCTGTTCCCGAGAGGCGAGCCCCCCTCCCCGAGCTCAGCAGCTCGCGCCTGGTTTGCTGTCCCTGCCCGGCAGCAGCGCCTACTCTACCCCGCTGCTGGGGAGGTGGAGGCAGCAGCCGCTCACCTGTCGGAGCAGGGATATTTCAATTAAAGAGGAAGCCTGGGCGCGCGGGGCTGTTCGCCTGCAGATGAGCAGCCGGGGCCGTGTTACGTACGGACAGACACCTTCTCCCACGGGAAAGGGGTTCCCAGAGGGGCTGAAGGCAGTGGCACTGACTCCCCTCCCCCGCTCCTGACTCCAGCCTTTTTCAAATTATTAATTTATTATTATTAACTACCAGGCGCCATTTGCTCCAGCGCCCTGCTGGACTCCCGCCGCCAGTGGGACTGAGCTTGCTTGCAAGACGCCCCGCCTCTCCCACGTCTCCAGCAGCAGCAGCAGGCAGAGCCGAGAGCAGTCCATTGGGGTTGGAGGCTGCTCCTTCCTTTCTGCCTGTCTCCCTCTCCAGACAAGGAGCCGCGGCCCGGAGGTTTCATTTGTCCCGCTGCCTCCGGGAGGGGGGGGGGGGTCTCCTCCTCCCCACCATTGCCGCGTGTCTCTCGTGAAACTCGCAGACGCATTTGCAAATATTAACCCACGAGAAAGGAGAGGCAACGAGACACAAAAGCACCTGCCCCTCCCCGCGCCGCCACCTCCTCCCTGCCTCTGAGCCCAGTGCCCGGGGGGCGAGGAGAGCCCAACCCACCGAGCGCGGCTCAGCGCTCCCGCGGGAGGCGGAGAGACACCCAGTAGGGACGCGTCCGTGGCCCTCACATCCCCGTTCGCTTTGCCACCTTCCTGCGTGGGACTCGTCTGCTCCGGAGCCCTGCGGACGCGCTGCCCTTGCCGGCCGGTGCCGCGGGGATCCGGGGCTGGCGAGAGGCGCAACCCCGTCGGCGTTCGCAGAGGACCAGGTGCGGCCGGGAGGGGTGGCGTTTTCCCTGCCGTGCTCCTTCCTCCTCGCCCGCCCGCTGCCGAGCTGACCATGGCCGGATGTTGCTTATCCGCGGAGGAGAAAGAGTCGCAGCGGATCAGCGCGGAAATTGAGCGGCAGCTGCGCCGGGATAAGCGGGACGCGCGCAGGGAGCTCAAGCTGCTGCTGCTGGGTGAGTGAGTGGCCGTCTCCTCTCCTCCCCCCTCTACAGCCTAGCCCGGTTACTCCGCACCAGGCCTCCGGGACCGTGCCGGGATGGGGAAGCGGAGGACTCCGTTGGTACGCGGCACTCTAGCCCTCTCCCTCCTCTGCTAATGCACTGGCATGGTTGCATAATAATACCCGTCTAGAACCCTTCTTTTCGGGGGACAGAGGAGTTCCCTGGGCTGTGGGAGCTGGCTCCTGTTAATAACAAAACTTGGCACCGTTTCCCGAAATTCTATTTTTCAATGACATTTTTAGTCAACATTTCAAACTTTGACCAGTTATTTTTGATTCGGTGTTTGTGTCTGTGTGTCCGTCTGTCTGTCTGTCTGTCAGCCAACCACTTCTAACATTTTGCCTGGAGCAGCGCCATTCATTGCCAATGACATTCTCCCTTTGGGTGTTTTTGAGGGTTTCATTTGGTCTGGTAACGTGACAATGAAAAGTACAGTAAGCAAGGCAGCTTCTGGCTGCATTTACAGCAGGAAAACGGAGACCCGTCTCTGCCCTGCCCACCAGTACAGCCCTGCTGTTGGTAGGAAGGACAGTGGGAGTGCTGGTGTGGAAGAAGCACTGGTATTTTAGTTACCACCCTGTTTGCTACTCAGAGGAGCTCTAGATAAAATGCCGGGAGCTGCTTGCACCTTTTCTGTACTGGTGCAGCCACTGGAGAAATGACCTCAGTCACAGCAATGGCATGGAGTTGTAGAGAAAAAATATTAGTGTAGGCCAGGGATCGGCAGCCTTTCAGAAGTGGTGTGCCGAGTCTTCGTTTATTCTGTCTAATTTAAGGTTTCGCGTGCCAGAAATACATTTTAATGTTTTTAGAAGCTCTCTTTGTCTACGTCTATAATATATAACTAAACTATTGTTGTATGTAAAGTAAATAAGGTTTTTAAAATGTTTAAGAAGCTTCATTTAAAATGAAAATGCAGAGCCCCCCCCCGGACTGGTGACCAGGACCCGGGCAGTGTGAGTGCCACTGAAAATCAACTCGCGTGCCACCTTCGGCACGCGTGCCATACGTTGCCTACCCCGGTGTAGGCTACGCCTAACCTATAGCTTCTGCTGCTTCCCCAGTGGTGCTTCTCCAGAGGTGGATGACAGGACTGAGTTTCCTTGTGCCCACAGGGCCACGGGTGTCCCTTTTATAAAACAGAAGTTTTAAAAAAATCAGGAAAGGCCTTGACTACCACAGTAACACTATTGTACGATGTGGTGATGGTACGATTATGTTCAAACTCTTTTGTAAGATGTGCGTCTACAGGAAATAAAATCCCTCAGCGCAGAATGAATCCCAACCCTGGGCAGATAAATGACCCATTGCTTCTCACGTACACTTGAGATTTCAGTCATTCTTGCACTTCGCAAACACTTGAATAGTTTATTGACATGATACTATCTGTGAAGAGCATGGAGCGAGTGGTTGCCTAGTCCAATCTGTATGTAAACATTGCCCTGGAGAGATGCCTGGAGCAGCTTTTCTGTTGAAATCATGTTTACTACTGTCGTGCCTAATGGCCAAACAAGAATGGGGCCATTTTGTGCTGGACACTGGTTTTCTTGCTCCAAAAAACTTACAATCTAAATAGACCAGATGGACAGCGGATGAGGGAAGAGATAGAACACGCAAGCACAGTGGACGATGTGATACCAACAAACATGTTAGTTCCATGTTTTTTTCTGGGGGAGGATAGTTAGTTAGGAGAGGATCAGCTAAATAGAAAGAAAGGGGAAGGGAAGAAGATGAAGGGGGACAGGGTGGGAGTAAGAGGAGAGACATGTAGTGAAGCTGAAGAGATTTCTCCAACCTTCCCTTCCCTCTCCCTCACAAACAGCCAGTCATCAGGGAGACAGAAAGTCCAGTCAAAACTGTAGGAAGTTCTTTGAATATCCAGAGGTCCCGACTTTTGGCAGCTTCTGCCTATAGTGGTTGGAATCTCTGGCTGCGTCTTCTCTGCGGTTTTCCTTCAAGGACACATGGCTGTGTGGGGGTCCAGAGTTCTCCCATGCACAATTCTGGGCCCATTTCTGTCTGTCTACACTGAGCTTTTTTCTTAAAATTTGTCATGGCTGCATTAGCAGTGGTGCAGCTCCACTGGTGGTATTGTTGGTGGGACTTCTAGTAGAGACAAGGCGCTGACAGCTGCAAGCCTTTTTACCAACTTGTTTAGATTTGCTCTGAGCAGGGACAAATGAAACACTGGCATTTTGTCTTCATTCAAGCTCCCACTGCCCTGGCGGTAATGTATCAGGGGTCACATAGTTGGTAGTATAACAGTGAGAAGCTTTTAAGAACAGTAAGGGTGATTAACCATTGAAACAAACTACCAAGAGAAATGGTAGAGTCTCCATTTTTTGAAGACTTCAAATAAACACCGGATGCCTTTCTGGAAGATAGGCTTTAGCAAAACAAGTTTATTAGATTGAATGCAGGGGTAAGTGGGTGAAATATAATGGCCTGTGATATATAGGAGGTCTGACTGATCTAAAGATCCCTTCTGGCTTCTAGCTCTATGGATCTATGAAAAAGAAAGCCCATCATAGATACAGTCTGAGTGTAGTGCAATGAGATAGCACAGAGGACAGAGTAAAGTTAGTACTTCTCCTAGAACTTGACCTCTGTTTCCACAGCCTCTGCCTCCACCGCCACTAAATGAGGGAGATTTAAACAGAGCAAACTCTTTCATCTGATATAAAATGTATAAAAAATGTGTGAGTTTGCCTTTTCAGTGAGAGAGGCTTGGCAGGTTTTCCAATATATCTGCTTCCTCCTGGGGAGATGTCACCTGTCCTTTCTTTACACAAAGATATTCTTGATCTGTCATGTAAATATTAAACTAAACTTTTTGCTGCCCCAAGCAATATTATGTGTCTGTATTGTAGGTACTCAGACGAGGGAGTTACAAGCCAGGGAAAAAATATCCGTGGTAGCGTGCGTGTGTGTGTGTGTGTGTGTGTGTGTGAGAAAGAGAGAATTTAAAAAAAACAGATTTAAAAAAAAAGTTCATATCTATGTTGCAAAGAACATCTCTGATAAAGATGATTATGGAATAGTCTAAAAATCTAATTTACTTGTGGTATTTATTTATATTTTCTTAGCTAGGGCAAATTGACAAGCTTCACTGTTGTTCCTAATCTAGTCCAGTTTCAGGCTTTTGTGCACTTTCATGATATTGCCATGTTTCAACTGGTAATGCTGCACAGGCATATTTAGTTGCCTGTTTAAATGTAAAACAAAATGAAATATATTGACTACGTTAGGGCCAAACTTAATTTTTAGAGAACACCAGACATAGTAGTTGCAGATTCCTGATATCTTATGGAATATATCTGATGGTAGAAGCTCTTCAGTCTAGAAGACAAAGGCTTAATAAGGTTGAAGCTAGAGAAATTCAGACTGGAAATAAGATGCAAATTTTAATGGAAGGTAATTTACCATTGTAACAACTTATCTAGAAACCTGGGGTTTCATCACTTAGTGTTCAGTTCAAGACTTTTAAAATATTTTTCTAAAATATATGTTTTAGCTCAGTCTGATGCTACGGGCTTGAAGCAGGAGTTAAGGAGTGAAATTCTATGGGCCTGAGTTATGTAAGAAGTCAGACTAATTTATCATAATGGTGCCTTCTGGCCTTAAAATCCACAAATCTATTAAACTATTCAGGTTTTCAATTTAGTTGACTTTGTCAACTAGAAATTTAATTTTTAAAAATGAATTCGGTTTTGGATAACTACACCTGTCCCCAAGTTACCGTACTCGTTCTTGTTGTTTTAAGATCAATTTTTTCCACTTTTCTCACCTGTTGCTGTGAAAGACCCCCAACAAAAACAAAACAGAGTATACAGGGAAAATAGTGTCAAAATACAAAGGGTGCAATTTTCAAACGTGCTCGCCATTGGCTTGACTTCAATGGGAATAGAGAAGGTTTCAAGTTGACTAACATAAAGTGCTTTTGAAAATCTCATGTAATGTAAAACTGAAAAAATGGAGATGTTCTTGTAGCCTTGGTTATTGCAATCTTAGACATTGCATGTAACAATAAGGTAAACATTTTCAGACAAATACAAGAGATGCAATTTTTAGTTGACGGTACTAGTCAAGATATTTTTCTATTTTCAGAAGAACATAAGCACTGTATACACTTTTTTACTATGTAGGCCCAGTCAAGCTGTCCTGCAGTGGCTCAGCAGCGTGAGTATCAACCTGAGAAGCAGGGCACAATCCCCAAATTAGTTGTGAATTCTATACCTAGATTTCACCAACAAAGTAGCAAGTGTAAACTCCTTGGGCACTATAACAGCCTTAATGTGGAATCACAGACAGTCCCTTTGGGTACTCCAAATTGTGTCTTGCCACTCAGGTAAACCTACATTTATGGTAGATGATCCCTTACATCAAGAATCACAGCAATATTCAAGTTACTCACAGGCCCTAAGGACCAGTGATTTACCCCAGATCAAATGAACCTTAGCTCGCACCCCGAAGATAATGCTGTAGCCAGTCCTCTAATAAACTATATACAGATGTATTAAAAAGGAAATGAGTTATTTACAAGGTTAAAGCAGATAAACATACATACACAAATAAGTTACAATCTTAAGTTTCAAAAAGCAATAGTAGTATCTATAATAAGCAAGCTCGATATGCCTTTAGGGCTAACCCAGGCTAAGCCCTGGGGTTCTCTTGCTTA